ACTGGCAAAATCCCTCCAATAGGGGGAGGCCTATGTTCAGCAGTATAGAGTTAGCAGCTGATATAGTAATTCTTTATTACTATAATTTATTTATTGTTCATTTATTTAGAATATAAGTACATATTTTTGCTTAGATTTACCAATGTACTCGTCACAAACCAAAAATAGAACTTTATAATAATACAAATAATTCTTTAATGAAAAAAAATATAAAAATAAACATTAAAAATGCAATTCTGCATAATTTGTTACCATTCTGCGAAACTTTGTAGCAGTACAGTAAAATTATATATATAATACAGTCATTATAACTTTAAAATCCTACTTTAATTTATCAGTAACTCAAAATGAACGTTTATTTATTCACATTATTGTACGTATGCATATCTCTATATGTATTTAGAAAACGAACAGAGTTTCGTGCCTCTAGTCCAACTGTTTATAATTACTCTTCTCCATCCAAAGATTGCCTGGAAGAGATCGCTCTTAGCGGTAAGGCCACCCATTGTTTTCTTAGTGTAATATTTTCTTGTATTTGTTTGTTTATAACAAGTTTACTATTGTAATTTTATAGAGGAAACAATAAGGAATCTATCTATGAAAATTTAGAAAGATGTTTGTATGAAATTTAGTACATGAGTAGGTAGATAGGTACACATTTAAATACTGATTCATGCAAACACAAGAAAAGCCGCAGAATATATCTAGTAATGAAATAAATGGTACTAATTCGTGAGTGCCATGTTTGTCATGTGAGCCAAATAATCTTAATTAATGTAGTCGTAGCGTAGACCGGTGGCTTGAATAATTCATGCGACTGTAATGTTTATGTCCATACAAGTGGCGAGGCGGTGGTAAATGTGACGACGGCCGGCTCATCCGTCACCACTTGTAGGCCGTATGAAGCTGCGTCTGCTCACGACAACTACGAATGTTTCATTTTCAACTGGCTTCAAAGAGAAGAAGGTACTCAATTCGATTGTATTCTTTTATGTTTGTTGTCGTCATTTCAATTTCGTCAGTTATAAAACGATTTGGACAATTCTTTTTTTAAATAAAAGGATATACTTTACAGATCAATTTCATAGGAATTTTATTCAAATCAGTTTTGTAGTTCAGCTTATAAATCAAAATAACTGGTTTTACCACAAATGTAGTCAGTTCTTTTGTGGAACACAATTTTAAATTACGATATTTCATTTTCAATAGTTTTACTTAACTTACATGTATGACGATAGTTTGTGTATACAAAAAATTCGATGAACCAACCCTAATATCGAAATATGTATTAGAAATAGCGACATAAATTGGCATTGGCATAAATTGACATACAAAATAGCATTAAAGATACGGGATCAAATCCCACCTGCTTAAAATTTTTTTAGTCCCGCAATAATTGGAACATGATTTTTATATTTTAATAATATTTAAATATCAGAAAAGAGCTTTATTCTTTTTTTAAATTATAACTAATAGTAAAGTTTTAATAAAAGGTGGAAAAACGTTCGAACGACTTGATTCGATAGGATTCCAACAGATATCTCTCTGCTGCCCAAGCAAATAGCGACATGTACAAGTTTAACCCGAAAACTTAATAATAAAAACTACTTCATGGACTTGTTACAAAAATAAAAACTTTTCAAAGAGATATTTATGTTTACGAATAAGATTTGACGTGTTTACATAATGCGACTATATACGTATAAGTCGCGTAGACGTGGCTGGTTTGAACAAGGCAGTTTAGTTCGCCAAAACACGGAAACTGCAAAAGTGGAGGCCGCGCAGTAAACAATCAAAATACAACACAATACCTTCGCGTGAATATGTATCAAAACATTTCATTATTATCTATTTAAAAATATCCTAACATAGATAGAATATTCAATTATAGGTTATAGCGATACGTACTTATAAATTACTTCGTTTTTAATATCATGTCCGCATTATATATATATATATATATATATATATATATATATATATATATATATATATATATATATATATATATATATATATATCTATGTTATTTTTAATTTATATTTAAATTAATTCAGAATACATGTAATACTTTAATAAAATGACATAGATTACAAGTTACAATTAATTTCAATAAAAATATAATATTTATTGATTTACACTTTATTGCACCATTTGTAAAAATAATAAATACAGTAAATTTATTTGCTCTTTTTCTAGTTCTTTCTTTGTATACTAAAATTTTTGCATAAAGTTTAAAAAATTCTTGAGTTATTTCAAGGTATTAAATATATTTGTACTTAATATTATTAATTCGTGTAGTCCTGGCATAGAATATGCCACCCCTTCCTTTCCTGTTGGTGTCGTATGAGGCGACTAAGGGAACTTAATAGTCGAGGGATGGGCAGCAGCGTCCCTCTTAAAACAACACCAAAAGCTTAACTGCAGTTGCTAAACGCTAACGCGTGGCAACTACTGACAAAACTCTCCTTATGAGGAAGGCTTATGTTCAGCAGTGGACAATTAAGAGCCAATATAATGATAATTATATTTATATGATTGCTTTGGAAGTGTCAAATTAAGTAGTCCAAAAGTTTGCAAGCGTGTTCATAATACGTATTAATAATAACAGACAAGTTGACGTTTCGACCGATATTTTTTGCTCAAGCACGAGACTCAACGGAAATCCGTCTTCGGTTTTGCCCACGCCACATAGAGCTTAATAATAATTGTAATATGTATCCTTTTAACGATACGTTGCAAAAATCCGGACATCCGTTGAATTTAATAAAACTTATATTGAAATATATATATATATTGAATATATATGTATAGCGTACATTTAATATAAAAAATAATGTATCTATTACATGATAGTAATATAGAAAGAATCAAAAATTACAGGAAACTACAAGTATGTTTAAATTAAGGAAGTACTTGTCTGTAAATAGATTTTATATACACGTACGGAAATATGCAATTAAATATGCTATACAAAAATTTATTATGATTTCGCTTCTGTTTGGTTATTGCACTGTCTTGTTAATAGTAATATACACTTAGTATATTTTGTATATTATTGAATAGTTGTTTAGTATCTTTTTTAAATTATTATGAAATTACTGTATAATCAAGATATTATTTCCATAATGCAAATTACACTTGATTGAATAATACATTAAACGGCGCCGTCCGCAATATCAAACACATTTAAAAGCCATATAGTTCCCTAGTTGATTGGTCATATTTCACTGTATTTCAATACAATGAACTTTTCCATTGGCAGTTTTATTTAGTATGAATGGCATTGTTCTGATGTTTTAAGATCAATACGCGTCGTCCTAATTGTATTCGAACCACTTGTGATGCGAGCCCGCAAGGCCCTTGACTTTTAGCCGACGCGCCGTATACGCCAACAAATCATGGCCAGAATGTTATCTGAATGATCTGCAGATTACAGAGGTGAAGCTATCTCACTCAAGAAACGTATGACATTTAACACATACTACTCAATGCACAATACTCAGGCTCTTTATTGATCAGCACTTAATAATTTCTTACCGAAATGACTGATAGACACAAACTACGTTATAACTTGTAATGTCCGTTTGATATGTTCGACAAGTAATCATGTTACAGCCACTTGATCTTTTACTTTTTAAGAATTATTGAATTACATGTGTGCTATTATATATATAGTTGTGTGTGCCAATAATATATATATATCAAAAGTATAATGAATATCTCCACATGTTACTTAGTTATGTAAGGGAAGCCTGTACAATTGGTTTAGACTTCAAGAATGGTAACAAGATGCAATTTGCAATACAATATATTCCGTGATGACTATCATATTATTCATATCAATATACAACAGCTATTACTTTCCATTTAACACACTGTCAGCTCGTTTGCCCTTCCTGTAGTAAAAGAAAATTTAAAGTCAAGTGCGTAACAGGACATAATCAACATTACTTATTATCGACTCTAACTCGAGATAATTAGGCCTAGGATATTAGAATTTCTTGTTCAGTTTAGTTATTTAAGTAATATATTTAAACTTGTGTTCCAAAAAAACCGACTTCAACCATGATAAAATTAGTTATTTTTATTTAAAAAATACTAAACCGATTTTGATAAACTTTCAATCCGTAAGTATATCTTTTCAGATAAAGAAAGATTTTTGCCAATTAGTTTATAACTGACGGAGTTATGAGGTAACAAACATTAAAAAAAGACGATCGAATTGAGACCCTCCCTCTTTTTGAACTCGGTTGAAAATATTTCATGATTTTTTGCATAGTGTCTGTAATAGCAATATTCTGTATAACTTTCTCAATATTTGTTCAATTAAGTGTAAGTACATATCGTTTCTGTGGTTTAAGCAAAAAGCACAAGAGTCCGTACTGAGTAGAAAACCGCGAAGCCTTACATTACATACCGTACGGGCTTCATTTACAAATAAGTGGGCGAGTGTGCATTCAGACGCTCTTTATCACTCTCACTTTTTAAGTGACTCACCTGTCAGATCAACTATTTGTTAAAAAAAACACTACATATATTGGCAACAATAAATGGCTAAATACGTATTTCTATTTCAAATGCAAATCAATGCTTATAGTTTAATTACGTTCTAACTCGCCTTTCGAATACAACAAATCGATTATATTTGATTTTAAATAAACTAAATCTTAAACTAAACTTTTATATTATGATCAATAATTGTCTGCTAAATGTTTATTCTTATAGCATAGAAATAAATATCAACATAATACATGTTGCTTTTATAGAGGATGCCTCTAAAAGTAGTCATACTATATTTTAAACAAAATAAATAAGAGTAAATCCATCTCATTTCACTCTATTATTATAATCTATTAATTATCACTTGCATTATTAAATGTAACGTGATTTTAGAATTATAATTTCTTATATCAATGCATTTAAAGTTGAATACATTGACGGAAGAAGAATAATTACATAGCATACATATATTCTATTTAATGACATAAAGTTCTTACCTTCAATTTTAAAATTGCAGTCTAAAGATGGCTGCACACGGGTGTATCTGTAATAAATGACGTTTTTAAATTAATAATAAAGTTAATTGAGATCTAAATATAAGCATTTAAAATTTAATAAAATTATTCTATTTTATGTAACAAACTAATATATTTTTAATAATATGATCTGTACACGTAGGTACAACATACAATTTAAAATATATTAATATCATAGTTCCTACACATTTACTTTATAATTTATAAGTCACCATAGTAACCACTTCCCATTAAGCGGACTGCATGCCTGATTGCCATCGTTGTTATTTAAACAAAATAAAAATAACTGTAGGAAAGGTATAGTTAATCTGCATAAAGATATTCAAAATCGCAAAACATTATACTAGCGGAGAGTTGGTGTTATTCACCTTACCGAACACGCGGCAATAATTATTAATATTTTTAACACGCCTATGTTAAATCTTATAATATGTTGATTATCAAACAACAAAGTCAAATAGTAACCGAACTACAATGTTAGCTGTAGGTATACATGATGTTAAAAGCTAGAAGTATTAAAGTTTAATGACAGGTAATCTGTCATCAGAAATCTGGGAAACTAAAAGCATTCGAAAATCAAGAGACAATGCGTTGCATATTCATAAAGCTAGATTATATGTATATAAACATATTGTATAGTTAAATATACACAGTTTATGATGTGAGTCGTACGGTATAATGAACATGCGGATGGTTTCAAGAGAAATCTGTAAGTGTGCGTAAATTACTCGATAAAACGGAGATGATCGCCGCTCGTAACGCAGAATCGTCGCGTGAAGTCACGTCACATGTACATATTATTATTTGCAATAACGATGAGGATACTTTGCATAGTGTACAGCAAATCAATTATACGAATAATTCTACTTACGTAATATTGTATTATATTCTAAAACTTTAGGCGTAACAGCAATCTGGCGGTATTTTTATGTATTTGCCAGATACAACTAAATACCATACCACATAAGAGTAAGTTAGCTAATACAATCCTTTACATATCGTCATTCATCATTTTAGCTGATAACTATCCACTGATGAACATAAGTTTTCTCCACAAAGCGAGTTTTGCTAGTAGTTATCACGCTTGGCAGGCGGGTTTTTTTTTTATGGGTGAAAATGGTATGGTAACCCCGCCTGCGCTAACGGGATACGCTGGCGGAGCACCAGTGAAGGGTTATAGATGAGAATGAAAACAGGCCAGTTAGCCCATCATGATGAATTTATCAGGAATTTGGCAGGCGAGTTGGCAACCGTAGTTAGGCCATGAAGATGTTTTAAGAAGGACGCTGCTGCCCATACCTCGACCTTTAAGATCCCTTAGTCGCCTTTTACGGCACCCATAAGAAAAAAAGAGATGCCGGGACCACAAACATTAAATCTTTCACATATGATAACCTACATTTCAGTGGTAACACTATCTTGTTATTAGTAAATACAAGATAGTGATTTTCACATTTATTGATGAAGGTTACTGCTTGCTTTCAAGTATTGGATCGTCAACTTGACCGTTCCATCAGTAGTATACTAGTATAAAAAATCTAAATAATGACCACATATTAGCATATAGTATATATACGTGACAATCTTATAAATATTAATACTCGTAAATATGAAAGTGTGTAAGGGATTTGGATGTCTACATGACTGGTTATTTATTATTACGTATACTTTATACAAATGAATGTATTTGAAGAAAATCTGTTACACAAATGTAGATTAATATACAGGATCGTAAAAAAAAGCAATGTTAAAAAGTTGATTACTGCGTTCGGATCGAACACTATAAAGTTTTTTATTTGTGTAATTAAATAAGATTACTAGGAAAACTCGAAATAAAACCCTATACTGAACCAAGACGCACGGCTATTGTGGTAATAAAAAGATATATCTTCCTCTTATGAATAGATACCATAAAAGGGGAAAACTGTGTCCAGAAGGGGGAACAAATAAATTGTAGAAAGCTTTTTAAGAATGTATTATAATGTGTGCATAATAATAAAAATGCAACAGGGAAAACTTTAAATTTTATTTTTAATATAAAACTAAAATTTTATTTTTGCACATGTTTATGGGATTTGTGACATAAAAAAATATTTCAATAACTAACTAATTTGCTAGATTACAGATTTTTAAATACCTAAGAACTACATATAATAATAATAATATATATTAACATAATTTTTACTTCTAATTGCATTATGCATTGTCACTGGGATCGTCTCTACCTTCTTCCTCTAAAACAAAGCCCCCTTTTGGTCATAAGTCTGATTAGAAAAATATCTTTTTATCGGTTAATATAGACACTTACTTCTGCTATATAAAGTTAAACTTAAGTTTTATAATTGATTATTAACTAAACTAACAACACTACAAATTTGGATGCTTCTTGTACATTTATCTCACCGCTAATATCGTATTTACTGTTAGTATGTTCATACTAATTACCTGATAATGATATCACTGTCCGCTGCATCTTTGTAACATGTTTAAATAATCTTTGTAATGTCAGTTTCGTGGAGACTATGTGTACAAAATGAAAAAGAGTTTATATATATAATACACAGGTTTCATCTTCCTAACAATTTAACTGTATTGTTTACGAATAAAATATGAAACGAAGTATTTTTTGTTTTTCTTTTGATACGTTCTTTTATACCAACATACAACAGATATATAAAAGCGTTTATATAAATCCACACAAATATATCTTTAAAAATATATTGATACCTATCTGTGATACCTACATAAACTTTAATAGCATAATAGCGGCTCGGTGTAAAGAGGTCGTTCGTGTTACATGGTTGGAAACTGGTGCAAAGCGAAGTGGTGCAAACCACAAAACCAGTCCTGCGACAGGAAGCGGCCTCGAAGTGTCCCCGCCCCGCAACCCCCGCCCACCACCCGCTGCGCCCCCTCACCTGCCGCGCGACCACCTGACCTGATCCAGACAAAGCGCGTCCTTCACGCAGTGACGCATGCAAGTGCATTGCACTAATAACAAGTCCTTTCCATGTCCGGTAGGTAACAAGTAATCGACAGCACTCAGTCGTAACGCGGTAGCTCAATCTTATGAGTTGCTTTTTTATTTAAACAGCACCTATTTGAATATATATTACATTACTAGCTATAATCCACGGTTTTGCTCCTGTGACTATGTTTCGAATTGTGTACCAAATGTAATTGAAACTTGTTAAGACGCTTAAGTGTTACTCAAAAACGAGTTTCCAAATCTTAGCAAACAAACAATTCACTCAAATAATAAGTGAGTGTTTATTGTATTTAGAAATCTGACTTCAATCATATCAAAGTTGAAAGGTTATTCCTATGTGCTTTCATCTTGTGCAACTGTTTTTGTGCCTAATTTTATAAACATTAAATGTGACATATAAAAACGTAGTGATTTCAAATATGACAAAACATCAATGAACAACAAAATAACACATTAGAATAAAATGTTACAATATTAAAATAGGTCAATAAATAATTGTTGACAAAGGAAAAAAAGGAATTAAAATCTAATTAGAATTACCGAATGTACTTACTTTAGACCTTATTCCTTTCGGAAGTCACTTTATAAAATAGATGTTACAAGAAACGTGATGTGAGTTACACTTATCAAACACGTCTGTTAATACACAATGTTTAGATATTTACTTAGCTGAGAATCGAATTATAATGTTGCTAATGGGCAATTTTAACCAAATTATCATCTTAAAGTGATTATTATTAGCATATATGGTATTCGGTTTATTTGGCTAGATAATCATTCAAAGTCTAGCTGTCGCCAGTTCAGATGCGATTTCCGCTATATACGATGATCTAAAAAATCAATTTATATTGGGTGTATTTTAATTAAGAGCATGACCTTGCTTATTTATACTTGACAAATAATTATAAATTTTATTTATCTATGAGTACTATTTTTTATTATTTTCAAATTTTAAAATTAGATCTGATTAATGGAATTATAATTGAACTTAAACTAAGATAATAAATACTCAGTTATATACATATATAAGTATTTATAAAAAAAAATATAAAAATATTAGACGACTAATATAACTGAATATAGATATTTGCAGCACTAAAAATTTCATAAGAATCGATAATTTTGACATACTTGTTTAACATATTTGTGGTATGAAAAACATCAATGCATAGCAGAGCGAAAGTATTAATATAAGAAGGTATTGTTTATTAAATACTATAGGCAAGTAATAGCTTATCAAATTTAAACAAAAAGTAACATGCTATAAGCCCATTATGGATTTAATGAAAGAGTATTTTTATAACTAGCAAATACGAAATTCAATTGTTGTAGACAAACTACAAAAAATAAAAGGTAATTGAAGCCATTTTTATATTATTGTACCTATTTTGCTTTTGAAGATTTAATTTTATTAATAGGTCTTCAAAAAAGTATAGTCTATAAAAAATATAATAGGTATTCACATAGTGCACAACTTGAGTATTGATTACTTTATTTTTTGCTTATATCTTTTACAAAAAGAACTTAGCTTTGTATATTGACCGTGTAATTTCTGTGTCAGTAGAAGATAGAAAAAGTTTTTATGTTAGTCTAAAATGGCAATTTACAAGTAGATATTTCTAGCGCCTTATTGGTCACGAAAGAGAGATAAAAGTAACCTAGCATAAAAGACATTTTCGTAGCCCGAATCGTGACTAAAATATATCAGCTGATAGCAGAGGACTGCTATTGTACTGAGCGTAAAAGAACAATGGTGTTGATGGGCAGGCGGTAGTGGTGGCGGGGAGATGCCGGCGTCGGACAGCACAACAGCGAGCACAAAGCAGCCGCGCGCCAGAGCAACCACAGCGAGTCTCATCGAACCGCCCAAAGAAACAATCTCATAGAAAGTAGAGCAACTCATTTATTTATTCAGTGCAACAACAAGTGCGAGCGAGATAGTGCTGCGAAACTGGCTCATTAAAATAAAAATCTGATTTTCGAGTGCAACTTGCGCGAAGTAAAATAAAAGTTTCTGTC